ACAGCCAAGCCCCATCGAGGTCCTGCGGCCTCAGCTCCCAGCAAGGCCACCGGACCTATCCCAGGCAGGGGCACCCATGCATGCAGGTGTGACGTGACTGTGTGTGGCCCTTAGGAGCTGGCCACAGAGGAGCCATGTCCCTGGCTGGCCCCCCCGGAGTCTGCCGTGCGGGAGGGCAGCGTGGACAGACTGGGCCCTGGAGCCAAAGCTGAGCTGCCCAGTGCCGTGTCGCCCAGGTAAGGGGACTGCGAGCTCCAGGCACGGGCTGAGGGGGGCAGAGCTGCTCCGGGGTAGCTCCCTAGGGTAGCCGGGGGGCTGGAGGGGATGGGCTGCCCCCGCAGCATCACCTCTCCCGCTTCTCACTCACAGCAAGACGGAGAGCAAGCAGCTGTGGCGTCCCCGCAGCACCTCCGTGAAAGACCGACAGAGTTCAAAGGGACAGGGTGGCCGCACCAGCAGCCTGGACAGCGAGAGCTCGCCTGACTCGTGGCACAGTGCCCAGGTCAGGTGCCGGCAGCCACCTTCCCCAGAGGTGCTGCCCTCGCAACCTCCGCAGTCCTTGTGCCGTGGAGGCACGCTGGGGCAGCCTGCCAGGGCTAACCTTGGTGGCGATGCTGTTGTAGGTGCCCCGCAAGTCTGTTTATGATCAGCTGAACCAGATCCTGGTCTCGGACGAGCAGCTCCCGGAGAGCATCGTGCTGGTGAACGTCTCTGAGTGGCAAGGGCAGGTGAGCAGGCAGAGAAGAGGCCGGGGCAGGAGGGGTGAGCTGTCAGCAGCGGCCCAGGAGGGACCAAGCTGCAGCAGGGTGTCCGGGGTGGGGGGAGGGTGGCCCAAGCCTTGTGGTGCCCTCTCCCCTGTTTGGCCCTTCCTTGGCTGAGACAGTGGCTTTGCACAGTGCTGAGCTACGTGCACAAGAGTTCAGCTGGCATGTCTCCTCCATCATCGGGACGTCAGCAGTGCTGACAGCAGGGATTCCCCATCCGCAAGGACATGTGAGGAGAGGAACAGTTTGCCACGCACCACCATTGCTTGATCCTCTGAAGCATATTGCCCCCAGCAGTCCAAGAAGGACCAGCTGGCAAACTGCACCTTGAATTGCCCCCCCTCCCCCCCCCC